TTGATAGTCACTGGTTCAACGTAAGACTGCCATACAAGTTTACTATATGTATATATGCTTTAACAGCGTGCATTGGCTACTAGAGTAGTGTTGTCCTAACAAAATGTTTGAAGGTGGTCATTAGTATACCACCCTTGTTCTTCCGAGGAAGTATACGGGCAGACGTACCTTTCCTTGCTATGAGTGAGTCTAAAGTTTTTCGCATGGCCAAAACTTCCACTTGATATGTTCCGCAGTAGTAGAAGAGGTGTTAAAATCCAGCTACACTGGCTCTAGGTCATATCGTTCGAATGGCCAGAAACGCTCCTGCTCTGAAAGTGTTCAACGCGGATCGCGATGCTGGTAATAGAGGAAGAGTAGGCCTCCTCTGCGCTGGAAAGACCAGGTGGAGAAGGACTTGGGTTCATTTGGCATTTCCAATTGGCGTCAGGTGCAATAGAAGATATATGGCTGTTTTGGACTCAGCCAAAATCGCTTAGGCGGTTATAGCGCCAATAAAGAAGAATAAGTCGAAAAGATATATCTTACCTCAATGTTTGAAACAACTCCTTCTCCGTTTCTCCATTTAAGCTTGAAGCTATCTATATAAAAGTCTGTTACATTAGGCTTACAATGAGGCGTGCTATACTACATCTGTCGTTTTTGTAACAGTATTTTCGAACTGAAAATGAGTGAGGACATTCATTGGTCAGCACTGATTGGTATCGAAATTGTCGCTGACATGCTTGGCCCTACCGAATGAGCTGAGCGTCTCTCCATTTATGAGGCGTCCTTTATGTTTTGTTGTTTCAAGAATGACCGCGTCTCGAGCAATTATTCCAAACGCAGGTATCTATGGGCGTGATACAATTCCGCCTTGTTTGTATCCTTTTCAGTCGATATCTAGAGTTTAGGCCCCCAAACTAAGACTCCATGGAATGTAATCGAATGGACAATTGTCGTATATATCCCCTCTACCATCTTTGGAGAGAGTTCCCATGATATAATATACTGTTGCCTTTTCGTAGAAAACGTTTTGTTGGGACTTTCTTAATGCCTTTCGCTGTGATGCGATTTCTGTCGAGAATAAGTCTTAAGAACTTGGCCCTACTTTGGAAAAAATAGGCTGGTATCATGTAGTTGGAGACGTACGAAATGCGGCACTTTGTTTACTGATGGCATTTTAACTTCTAAAAAAAATGTTGCCTTTTCATCGCCCTCTCCTTAGAGTTTGTTCAAAGAGGGCAACGAAAGGGCAAACTTGTTTGATAGAAACTACAGCGCTATTAGTTTCGTTAGATTTATCTCCTACTCACAAGCAATGTGTTAAACGAGAGAGGTTTCCATCAGACACAAAAAGGCTTGCATCTGGGGTCCATTAGGAACGAAGAAAAGACTTCCTATGTGCCCCTGTCAACTATCATTTGAATCATAACATCCGCCGGATCCTAGACGTTGGTGTATGAGTCCTACCAGGAACCTGCCCATGGACTCGCTGAGGAATGCTACTGAGTATACATATGTATTAATATTTTGTCTATGTATTTTCTCAAAATAATTTTCGGCTATTATAGGAATCAACATATTTTGATATTTTTCGACCAAGCGATCGATGTATGAATATAGTTATGCCTCGCACTTACCTATATTTATTAGTTTTATTCGTATTGGTGTACGCGCCCTTAAATTAAAGTTGCCCCACAGCTTTACTTGTTAGTAGCTTGTTGATACTTGGAGCTAATCAAAGGTGGTTATCTAATTTTTTTTCGACCTACGAAATTTTATCTTTATACATATCGCACGCGGTCTTCAAAAGTGTAATATTTCGAAATTTGTAAATTTTGATACGATACTCTAAAAATGTTCAAAGACCATGAAATTACAAGTAGCAAAGAATGGAGCAATGTTATTATTGCAAGCATGACAGCCAACTCTCCTTTCCTAGTATGCATAGCACGAACTTGAAAATGCCTACTTTGTTTTTTTTTTATGTGCTCTGATAGACGGAGAAATTTGAGTTAGCATTGTTTCGAAGAACATGTGCGATGCGTATGTGGACATCGTTGGGCGGTTCATAAATTTGTTAAACTCCATATAATGCTTAGGTTCAGGCCCAAAATATTTAGTAAATCATCTTAACTTCAACCAAGGCAATATTCCGCGCGGCAAAAAATTATGAAAATGAAGGTATAGTATCTTCCTGAATTTTAAGATCCACTTTACTTAGACATTGAAGAAATAATATTCATAATTTAATTATATTTTAGCTTTGCGTTCAGCTCACAATTGCTTTAGTGATAATAATGGCAAAACATCAGTCTCATGCGTTGTGTAGTGTTTGCAATGGTAATGGAGTCGCCTGCGCCAGCAACACTACATTTCAACTTTGTTTTAACGGTAATCGGAAGCGCACGTTTAAGCTATGTGTTTCACTCATTTATTTCACCCACACGCAGGCATACCCGACACAACCGCAACATACAACTGTCTCAATGACAATGAAATGGGTACCGCGCTGGGCCAAATTTGCATCGATTCCTCCAGCAATCCCAATATACAGGCTGCCTGTGGCGATACTAAGCAGTGCGGCCAATGTGAAGGCATTGCAAATGGCGCCTACACTTGCACCAGCCGCACCACATTCACCATGTGCAC